TGAAAAAAGTGTTTATGCTGCAAACTCTGAAACGGCAACTGGTGTCTGGCTCGTTAAGATGTAATGTTTAGACTTAGCCCAGTTACAGGGTTGAGCTGTGAAGACACACAAATAAAGGTCGCTTTTTTCTACAGTAGCAATAAACAAGTGCATCCAAAAAACACACCTCTGAAGAGATACCTATAATAAATACATGACATCAGGAATCTGTGATGCTAGAGGTCTAAAATGACGTCAAAGAATACCTTTTTAATTTTTGAAATTCTAAACTAAGGCTGAGAAAAGCTGCAAAAACCTACAAATGCAAAGTCAAGATGCTGATACACTGTGTTTTTATCTGAATTCATATAACTGCCAAGTTGCTTTTTTTTTTTTTGGTATGTGATCAATAGCTCGCGTTTCTTTTTCACTTCTACCCCCTCCACAGGTATTTTATCTTTGCAAGTAAACCTTAAAATGCACATTTGTTAAGATTAGTCTCAGTATTTACTACATTGGCTGACACCAATTCAAATTAGACATGTAGGGTCACGACGTCTTTAATACTAATTAAAATAAAACGTTCTTTTTTGTTCATTCAAACAGGCAGTAGTATCCTGCAGTGGTGGCTTAACTGTGTTTTAACTGGTGATGATCTCCCTCACCAAGGGCTAACGGGAAGGTGCCGTTTGGTTCCCTTTCTGGTGTGTTGTGGTGCTGGGCTTGCTGCGAGCACGTGCACCATCCTTACTTCATTCAGGAAGAAAATAAGACTTGGCAAGGGTCAGAGGGTTATAAAGTTCCTCAAGTGGGGATGAAATCCACTGTCTTCATTGCAGGCGCTGTCCCTGCCTGATCCTAAGCTGAAAATAATGCCATAGGACATTAGTAGCCCCAGGTTAAGGGCTGGTCAGAGGGTAATTCAGTAGCAGTCCTTACTTTACTTTGGCAACCCCTATTGTGCCTTCCACCTAGTTTGTGGCTCACCTGTCTCTTTCCCTGACCCGTAACCTGAGAGGCAGTGCTTATGCTTTTTCCAGGTAGGGATCCCAGGTGGTTGGGATATGACACTTCCTCTTCTGCAAGTTTGGCGCCAGCAAGTGCACCACCCCATTCATCTCCACCACCATCCAGGTTTAGCAGAAGAGGAGAATTAAAGACTTTTTACTGAGGTGACAGCAAGTAAAGGTCTGGTGGGATGGAACCATGGAGCTGCTCCTGGTCTCCTGGAATATCCATTATAATACCAAAATTAAGGATGTTTGCAAAAGCATATGGATACTCAGAGCAGGAGAGGAACTTAAACTGTGGCGACATCTCCAGAGCTTCAAGAAAGGCTACTCTTCCCTTAATTCACACATGCTGACTAGATTAAATATCTTGATACCATTATATCCCCACTAGTTTTTTGCATGCTTATTGAAAATGACAATTAAAACCTCATAGCAAAATACAATTGCCATGTAAACAATTTCCAGGAAACCAGCAGTAGGCAGAGGAGCCAGGTGCTAAAAATCTTGGTGTTTGACATCATGACTAACATCCTGATTTATTTTTTGGCAAGTTTGCTTCACATCATCTGTGGAGTGTACCTGTTTCCTGGATGTATACTATTTCTACACTACTCTTAAAAAGCACCAATAGGTTAACAGCAAGAGAATAGCTCATTTGGCAGAAAAATAAAGGTGTCATAGCTTGTAGAAAGGTGTTTTAAATATACTTACATATTTATTTCTTGATGAAATCCTGGTGTTGCAAAAAACAATGTAATGAAACAAAATTTTGGACAAATAGTGATAGTTGCCAGACTCAGAAATAACGGTGCTATGACCAGAATTTTGGAAAAAAAACATACACAAACTGATAGATTATATTGCATATATGTAACAGTTTGTATACATA